TGTTCACGAATAGTTTTAGGTCAGTACACATGATCAAGGTACACAGACGTTTCTGTACAATGTGATATGTCTTTACTACATACAAATATTAACTTGTTTCAATATCCAACCGTCAGGTCTGTACCATGTGCTTACCGTGACGGTCAGTCTATGTCACAAATGTAACTCCTTACACTAACTCATATATGAAGCCTTTAGAAGACCTATCTATCGAAAGGAAGAAGCGGTTTCCGTTGAAAGCGATCGACTCCACTTCACCGAGACCTGACAGTATATCTCGACATTGCTGCATGTCCTTGGATATCTGGACGACGTTTCCGGACCCTCTCCCACAAACGTACAAGTTCCCCTCCATGTCAAATTCAAGTCCGCGGGGACCGGCCACGGTATCCGACTTGATGGTTTGACAAACACGGGTATCAAGAGACATATAGCGGATCCCGTTTTGGCCAATTTTACTATACATATCGGATATGAAAACATCTTTCCCACGTGACGTCATCCGAGTTTGTCTTCCCTCCACGGTTAAGAGTTGTTCAGAACGACCATCTTCTGTTACGCTAAGTATTCTACATGGTACTTCGTCTGGACAAGTCACGATCATGTTCTCATCAATGACGGTAATTCCGTATGGCATAACTTGTAGATCTATCTGATGAACACGCGTGATTGTCTCGTCTTTAATTTGCAACAGGTAAATATTTCGTGTTGGTTCTACGATCGTGACTGCAACTCTCTCATCCAGAAGGCAACAACATAATGGAACAGCATTTAGAGTCATCGTGTCGACACGTGCACCTTTATCGTTATACAGGAGCAGACATTTGTGTATGTAATCTACTAAAAACAAGTGCCCGCTGTCAAGGAAGATTGAATCAGTGATCCTGGAGGCTTTAGCGGATATCTGGAACGTAGACATCAACTTGGCGGTCCGACCGTACAGAGGTCGACAGAGGTTCAGCGTTGGCATCGGAGGGTGTTCTTTGGATGAATCAATGCATTCTGTCGGCGACCCCATCGTACACTGAAGCGATTTTAGACTCGGAGTTATATTGAGTGAAAGGCGTTCTGTGAACCAAGATGTCAGGATGTGATGGCAAAGCTGTTTGCACGTACGTATTTCCGCCTGTGCTTTCAGCATATGTGAGACTAGATGGACCTCGTTCCCCTCGGACAACACCGCCTTGATGGCTGCATTCGTGTTCGTCATACTTTTGCCCAAGCTTTCACACTCGTCGACTTTGTCCTGATGTTTTACAACGTTTTCCTTTGTTTTCTTGCTGAGATCAGTTTCTACTTTTTGTTTGATGTCTAGGAACAGTTTCAGCATATCATCCAGTTCCTGTTTCACAGCAGCTTCGTTGTCTTTCATCATTTCCGTGTGAACTTTGAAAGCCTCCTCAAGTGACGTCATGTCCTGACTGCCACGCGCCAGATCCGACAGCGTATCTGTCACCTGGTCCTTTTCTCTGATCTCGGTTGCGTACTCCAGCACGGGGACCACCTTCAGACATTGGCGGTGATCAGCGATCACACACTTGTAGCATTCGATCCCTGCATGATCTAAACAAACGTACTCCATTTTCTCGCCATGTCGTTAACACAGAACCTCCTCCGATATTGTCTGCCTGGTCTCGTGTTGCCCCCCGGCTGAGCCAACGACATGATGATCAGTGTGAATGATATCATGGAGGGATGATTTACAGAGCGTACACATAAAGAAGGAACATTGTTTACAGAATAATGTACCGTCGACATCTTTATCCTGACTCTGGCATGGGCTGCATTTACAGGTATCTTCGATCTCTTTGTTACGTTTCTCCAAAATTTCCAGAACAAATGTATTGGTGGGGAATTGCCTAGCCCATTGCTTGCCGTCCACAGAAGTAGTAGGCGGCAACACCAGGGTTCTACACACAGGGCAGGGAAGTGAGGGTGGGGAGGCGTGTGTATCGTCTGCCACAGTATTCGTTGTTACTTTAGCGATGTAGGTCTCCAGACACCCCAGGCAAAACGTATGGCGACAAGGCAGAGATCTAGGCTTCCTCAGGGTATCCAGACACACGGGACACTCCGTTATCGAGGACAGGGAGAGCGAAGCCTGGTGAGGTGAATCGTCTTTTTCTGGAATTGCTTGCGCCATCCTGTATTTTCTAAAAACGGAATTGAAATGTTCGTGTATTTTATCATTAAGATACAGTCAGGAACAAATATGTGTTCATCACATGCACGACATTGTGTTGTGTACCATCGAAATACCTAAACGTACACAGGAGGAGGCACTGTAGAATTCTTACAAGTAACATTAATTTCAGAAAGTGATCAGGACAGAAATATGATTATTAGACTGTCTCAACTATGACACGGTGAATGTCACTGTTTTACTCCAATTTTCAGAAAGAATATGAGTATAGGCCAAATAACTCTGTTATAGTTATAGTGGAATGAGGAGTACTCGCATAGGGACAATGACCAAGTGTATGCTTATTCCTATTGAAGGAAAGGGGTTTAAAAAATATATGTTCTTCTTTGGCAAGCCGCACACAGAATGTTCATATTGGGGGAAGGGATGCATAACGAGATAATCAGAACTAAAAGGGACACGGCCTTCATTTATACAGAACAAAATTCGTAAGTCCAGCGATTATAAATAATGAATTCAGCAAAACATTTTTGAGGAATGCCCAAAAATTCTAGATGCCCTTTCTCTGTCCTTTAGCTCTCAGTAAACAAAATGTTAATTTGTATTCTAGTAATATTTAATGTCCAATTTGATCAACACCCACGAACACGTTTGGAGAAATAGAGTTCCAAGATATAAACCTCAACAGATTTTTGTCATACTGGTCACCTCTCAAAATTGACCTTTGACCTCCACATATTTCATTACAAAAGATGAACATTGTTGGTCAACTCACATGCTGTTCTATACCTGACCAATGCTTACATAGTGTTGTTTGAAGTTGATACAAGATTTGACCCGCGACCTTTCATTAATTTCAGGTTATTTATCTATAATTTTGATTACTCTACATCCGGCTAGCTACCTACAGGTGTAATACCATGACCATTGACCTTTGTCAAATTGAGATGAATTCATTATAAGATTTTAATATATGTAACCCTGTGACTCGAAGGTCATGTATTTGAACAGGTTCGATAGTCCTCCATTCCAGCTTTCTACTTGAACTTGAAACTTGAAAAGAAGTCAATTAAATATTTACCTATTTGACCTCTGTAACTTGAATGATGGTCGATGTATTTTATTCAACAACTTTTGTTGTCCTACTGGTCGAATATCATAACCCTATGTATTCTTAAACTTTATAAGAAGTGCAATGGTTTAACACTATACCACTGTGATCGTGACTGAAGGACAATACCATGTCTACCAGCTCTGATACCTCTCCATTCCAGATACAATATACACTGTACCTATTGGTCAAATAGTATAAGCCTAAGCCCTTATCTTTAAGTTATCTTTGTGACCTTCAAGGAATGTCAAAGTCATTCACTTAAACAACTCTCACAACCCTGGATTCATGACCCCTTTATATATAATGCCAATTGTAAATAGACGACAAATTACGGCGAAAGGCAGTAGGTCACTTGAGCCTTTGGGCCAGGTAACTAACAGACGAATTAGGCCTATCTGTTAAGTGAAACATTTCTAATGCATGTCTTTTTACTATTTCATATTGTTTTCAGATTAATATGACGTATTTGAATACGCGATATAAAAAACCGGTATTAAATAATAAATAGGAGATACAGCCGGAGGACAGGTGCTCTTCAAACAGTGAGAGTTTTCTCCCTTTGTACCAGGTAGGACTATATTAGTACGAATGTATAACACTTGACATATTTTTTGCTGAAATGTACACATTTAATTCCTTTCGTTTACCCTTTCCAGGAAAAGCATTGTCAATATAAGACCAGCTTAACAGGCGAAGCTAACTTTTACAGTCGACAGATCATTGTTTACACAACACGCGTTACTCTGTGAATTATAAGGGGACATGAGGGGCTGGGGAGGGAGGTCGGGATATGTTACAAAGGTATTTCCCCACATGTAGTATTCAATGTGATTAAAATCATGTTCTACGCCCAATACGTACATAGTGTAGTCTACAGGTGTAGCATATGTTTTAATCATTTTGGACTGGATACATGTAAGGTTATATGTACGTATACGTTCATGGTCAGGTCCACGAGTAATGGTAAACGATGGTTAACACACAACTTACCATATCATCACATGCAATCCGTCTCGCCACAAACTGTACAACTTTTCGAGGAACGTGTACTTTCGGTTTCGAAACCAACGTCAGCAATTTTCGTATAAACGGTCAAACCGGTCGGACCACAGTTGTTCGTTTATTAGATAGGGTAGGACCTAGTAATCTGATGCTGCTTTCATGCGAGCCTTGACAAAGCATTGCAAGACATGCATACAAATTTGCAGGTCCGCCAGGATTTATACCCGAAATTATTACATTTATAAACGGTCAACCGGTTGTTCCGGCGCATAAACGAACAGGCCCGAAAGCCAGGGCCCATTTCACGTATCCGATTCAACCGATTTTTTTGTTTTAAATTGTAACGTTTTCGGGTATAAATCCTGGTGGACATGCAATGGTTTATGCAGGCCTTGCAAGGCTTTGTCATGGCTCGCCTGAAAACAGCATCAGAATACTAGGTTCGACCTAATTTCATAAACGAACATCCTGTTCCAATCGATTCAACCCTTTGGATCGCGATAAACGAATGCGATCCAGGTTATGTAAATGTTTGTACCTAACGGCTACCTGCGGCAGCCCCAGATCAAAGTCCGATCGGTTTTTCTCTCACAATAACAAGAGTTTTAGATATCGGACCATAGTTCGAGTTCCTGTAGATCATTGTACGTAACGGCGTGTACACAGCTTAAATAGTTGTTGGAACAAGTATCCGCCTCAACACTAGTTCGAGTTTCCTCTGGCCTTCACACCATATTGAGACATTTCGACAAATAGAACACCAGATATTTATTTGTCAAAATGTCAAAATCTGGTGTCAGAGCCAGAGGTAACTCGGGCTACCTCAATACATGATATGCTTTTAGTTTCTCTTCCCTTTATCGAAGCTTGAACTGACCCAGTGGTGTAGTTTTTCCGCAGGTACTTTGATCTTTCTTTCTTTTCTTTTCTGTCTCTCTATTTCCCCTATCTTAATATTTTAGAGTTTAAGGCGACAAGTACTAGTGGTCTAATGCAGTTTTCAGACTTTCATAATATTTAAATATCCATCAGGTTTTTCATTTAAATATGTCTTTATGTATATCCTTTCGTCGCATTTCTAAATGTAATAATCTTGATTACAAACACACAACCTTATCCCTGTTTCGACCAAAACGTGACCAATAGTAAAGTAAAAAATAAAATTTTGTATTTTGGCAAATTGAGATATCTATCTTTGATCTAGCCCGAGTTTCCTCTGAACCTGACACCAGACTTAGACATTTTGACAGATAGATGTATGGTAACTTAGAAATTATGACAGCTAGATGTCTCATACCAAAATGGCTAAGTTACCAGACATCTATCTGTCAAAATGTCAAAGTTCGGTGTCAGGACCAGAGGAAACTGGAAATCTCCATGTTAATAATCATAAAAAAAATATCTTGGATATGTGCCGCATATTATTTTTAACAGACCGTCAAAGTTGCTACTATGAACAATATGCGACAAGGTTTTCTACCGATTTTAAATTCGTTTTACCACAAAACGAACTGAAATTGGTGCTCAGCTTACCTTGCGCGCCATACCTCTTTAGTCTATACTTAATGTGTTTTTTCAAGTGTGGCAGAATGATATTGTACGTAGGATTAAGGTCACCTTCTAGCTTCGCGCTAGAGAGAATTTCCCTTTAGCTCAATCGGTAGAGCGGCGGACTGGGAAGCTGGGGGTTGTGCGTTCGGTCCCCGGTGGACGGACATGTACACTATACTCTCTTTCCTGTTACACGTGTATGTAGCAGAAATATGATTAAACGGTTACCATATGACCATTTCTATATCCTACTCCGTATCAGTCCTCGATACTCCCATATTGATACGGAGTAGGAGTAGATATGGGAACGGTCGTATGCAATCTATCTATCTACCGTTAATGACCAACTTCAACTGACTGAAGGAATGTCATGTGGAGGTATTACTTACAACAAGACATAGATTTCAAAAGAAGCATTTACATTTTTTTTTGATTACAACAATTATCATGATATATATATATACAATGAGTTAAAAGTAGCAATTTAGGTGTAATTTATTGTATTTTTTGAAGTGCTGTTTTGAAAGAGTTCACTGTGTCGGATTTGATGACTGAATCTGGTAGGGTGTTCCATTCTTTTATTGTTTTCGGGAAGAAAGACTGTTTTCTGTATTCAGATCTGCACTGCCGGATTTGGAAACTGTTGGAATTGTTATGCATTATTTGCCTGTTGTGTGGTATTAAACGGTTTGAGTGTGGAATTGCAACCTGGTTGTTAATTATTTTATACAACACAGTGAGACGAGATTTTTTTTCTCCTGAGGGATAATGGCTCCCTCTCAAGATGGTGGAGCATGTCAGTGACACTAGAGGTGTTCCTGTAGCTATTGGTGGTGTATCTAGCTGCTCGTCTTTGGACTCTTTCAATGGCATCTATGTCTTGTTGTATGTAGGGATCCCAGACAGTGCAGGCATACTCTAGAGATGGTCGTACAAGAGATGTGTATGCCTGCTCCTTAACTGTCTTGGAACTGATGTTGAGATTTCTTTTAAAGAAGCCTAATGTGGAACTGGCTTTATTGCATATGTTATGTATATGGGGTTCCCATTTAAGATCTTGGCTGATTGTAACGCTCAAGTATTTGTTTTTTCAGTGTGTTGTTGAGTATGGCCATGCAATGTGTATTTATGTTTGACTGGTTTTTTTTTCTTTGTGATGGATATTACATTGCATTTATCTGGATGGAATGCCATTTTCTAAGATGTTTCCCATGATGCCAGTAAATCAAGATCTTTCTGGAGGATTTTTGCGTCAGAAGTTGATCCAATAGCAACATAGACGACAGTGTCGTCAGCAAACAAACGGAACAGATGAGGTTAAACCAGATGGCAG